TTTTCCTTTTAATGTCAAAGAGTGATATAAAAACTATGTAATTAAGTCATACAAAGCTATTTCAATAAGCATACAACAAAAATTAGAGTCGAACAGAAAGCGCTGTATTATAGTTTAATTTGAAGCATTTCTTTTTCTTTGGGACACATTAAATGGTGGTACCCTGCACAGCCAATATAGCTTATATTTGAAGAAATATGAAAATATCATTACTCGATGGTTTTTCCAGTAGTGCTCTGGAAGATCATAAAGTATTATTCAATGTTAATAACCCTATTTCTAATCACCCTAAAACATAATACATTAAAATAGCAGCAGTTTAAAACCTACAATTAAGACTTTCAATTTGAGGAATAACATTTGAAAACACACTTACTTTTCTCCATCCACAGAGTCTCAATATCCATGTTTCTCCTGGTCAACAATCATATGGGCTTAGTTGTACCTTATTTTCAACTTCTCTGGAGAACAGTTTAAGGTCTTCCATTGTCCCCTAATACAAATATTATATATACCACATAGCTTATATTCTAAGCCACACCATGCCAAATGAGATCAGATTAACATATAATTTGCTTTCCTAAAAATGTGCTGGTCACAGGCCATGTGCTAAATCAGTGGCAGGTATTATTGTTGTTAGCCATGTTAATTCCAAGGAACAGAGAATGGTAAGGTTCTGTTGGTACCATATCTAATCTGTTATCATTGTCCATTTTTATAGGTGGAGTTCGCTGTCCGAATAGTAGTGCTTTGCAAGAGGTGCGCAGCTGTAATGAGCATCCTTGTACTGTGTACCACTGGCAAACTGGTCCCTGGGGCCAGTGTATTGAGGACACCTCAGTATCGTCCTTCAACACAACTACAACTTGGAATGGGGAGGCTTCCTGCTCCATCGGCATGCAGACAAGGAAAGTCATCTGTGTGCGAGTCAATGTGGGCCAAGTGGGACCCAAAAAGTAAGGGCTTTTGAATGACAACAGTAAATCCTGTGGTCAACCATGCAGAGGATTGGCTCAGGCTTCACTTGCTTCATGAAATAGAGCATTTGGATGCTTGTCATACCTGTCCTCAAGAGTAAGATTTGTTTGTTTTGAGTGTCAGCTGCTGATAAAGCTATAACAGCTTTAGAGTCTTGTACCTGGGATCCATAAATTGTGTAGAAATCTTTCTATCTGGTACGTACTTTCTGTTTTATAGTATAGCATTTTCTGCTTTTATTAAGCTAGTGAGACAATGAAAGGTGCTTGCTCTAGGCCTGGCTGATCAATAATGACAGTATACCAAGTCCTAGCATTGTAGGTCACCCATGACCTCCTATATACCCGTAGGCTATGGAGGCTGCCAATCTGGTTTAATTGGGTAGTAGCCTTCTATGATCTGCCTTTCATTTCCCCTAGAAAATACTATATCTAAAATACTGAGGCCAAGCATTGTATCTTTCCATGGTTAAATGAATAAGCCATTTACTTCCAAGAGAGAGCCTTGGGATAGGATAAGTGTTACGATAAGTAGAAAAACTATCAGTTTCTTATGGTGGGAATGAGTACTGTAATAACAAGGAAAACACAATTTGCTACAGGGGAGGACAAAGAACCCAAGAGTTGGTGTTTTATGTGTGTCTTGTGAGAAATAGAATCAAAACAAGTAATGGCATATCTGGGCTAAACAATTACTAGAGAAAATTAATAAATCAACTCTAAAAAAAGTTTCTTGGAGAGAGTAAAACCTCTTTATCTTTTGCAATGTTAGACAGCATAATTTTTTTAAAAAAAATTCAAATCATCTTTGCCATGTGAAATAAGAAAAGTAAAACCAGTCAATTTTGC